ACAAAGCAAAAATTAGCATAAGTTTAATCCTATGACCTATTGATTGCGGATTGAAAATCAAAATGCAATCAATACTTGGATCTATGAAAAGATTGATTTCAGAAAATTATAGATCCACAAAGCAAACTCAATTGTGAAAAGGTTAAACACACAAACACAAAAAATATTCGGTGAAAAGGAATCACTTAACTCAAGGAAGCAACCTTGTTCTTGATACCAAAAAAGATGGAGTTGGTTGGAGCATGGAAGTGTTCTTGCTCCTTTTGACCTCCTCCGGATGTAATGATCTTCTCCTTGAGAATTCCACCGATTGAATGGTTGAGGAAGAAGAGAGAATCGGTAAGAAAGAACCTCTAGGCTAAGGATGGAAGCATCCAAGCTAAAGACTCAAAGGAATGCTCACTTTCAAGTGTAGGAAGAGAAAGGTTTTCCTAGACTAAATCTTGCATTTGGTGGATAATATATAAATATAATATTAATATATATATATATATATGAGTATATATAAAAAATAAAAAAAAATTAAAAGATTTGGGGGAGTCGTGGCTATTACAAAGATTCGCCCGTGGGTATATTAGTTTATGTCTTAGTTATCATTGTTATTGATAGAGTTTCTAATCTTAAAAGCAATGTTGTAAAAATTAGATCGCACAGCATATTAGACTAGTTATTAGATTGGTTGGGTATTAAATTAACAGATCAGATGTTGAATTAATGGGTCACTAATTATTCATCTCATATATATTTTATGTCTATAAATTTCAATAACATTCATTCCATGTCTTAAAAGAAAGCCAAAAAAATTGTAGTAAATATGATGTTGACAGAGCAACAAAATTATAAAGTGATTAAACTACATAAATTAATATAATTTAATATATAACTTTAAATTAAAAATATACTACATAAATTATTTAACTTAATTGTATAACAATAAAGTATATCGAATTAGTGATCACTAAATTTTTAAATAATTACATTCAATTGTCTTATTGTATCTAAAATTATCTTTCTTATTTTATTTTTGTTTTGTATAAAGAAATACATGAAAAAATATTTTATTATAAAAAAAATCAAAAGCACCTAGTATAAAAAAAACAAACATAACTATATATATATAAGTACATATATTATATTTATCAATTAAAATCGCTATATTACACATCTAAATATCAATTTAAACTCGTGTACTAGAATCTTAATCGAATCGATTCAACTATCCGATCTGAGATGAATTTTAAAACTATGCTTAAAAGTACCCTTATTTATGTTCTTGAATTTTTGTTTTCTTTCTTTTTTTTTTAAATCTTCATTTAGAGGCTTTTCAATCATCTTAAAAATATCAAAATTTTAAAAATAATTTATTTAAAAAAATTTCACCTAATGAATAATTTTTGTCACATTGAATCTATGGTAAAAAAAATGCAAGAGACTTTGAGTGCTATCTAAGTCCATTTTTTATGTCATTCATTTTATATAAAGTGTCTAGGGGGTTAGGACTTTTTTTTTTTTTTTTGTTAACTCCACGTCCCCCTCACCATTGCTAGAATTTCTCTTATTACATGTGATTTTTCCTGCGAATTTTTATAAAAAATTTGTAGGTAACGTTGTTCTTACAAATTTTTCTGTGAAATTTTATCTACAGGTAATACCTTTGTGGATAATATATTTTTGCGAATTTTAAAATTCGCAGAAAATTTTCCTGCGAAATTTCTTGCGAAAAAAATTCGCAGGAAAGTTTTCTACAAAATAAAATCTGCAGGAAAGTTTCCTGCAAAAGAAAATACGTAGGAAAGTTTCTTGCAAATTTTTTCACAAGAAATTCTGCGGAAATATTTTTTACAAAAAAAATTAAAGAAATTACTATAAATTCTATCAATAATTCTTCAACTTTCAAATGCTCAAAATGAATTCATCCGAAACATTTGTTTTCATGCCTCCAACATGTGATACATAATCTTTTTCAATTCTAAGATTGTAGATTATAAGCCTAGCACTCAACCATACAAATCAACTTGTAAGGTAAGTGTTGCCCAACTTATATACTCTTTAATTGTTTTATTTTTAATCGATGTGGAACTTGAAGTTTTTTTAAAATATTAAACTTATAAATTTAAAAAAAAAATTATATTTTTCCTGCAGATTAAAATTTGCAAGAAAATCCGCAGGAAAGTTACCTACAAAATCTACCATTTAGTAAACATTACTTGCAAATTTATTTTTGCAAGAAAATCTGCAAGGAACAAAATAAAATTCTTACATTATTTTCTGCAAATTTTTACCATGGAAAAAAATTTATATGATCATTAAAATTGTAATAAAATTTGTAAGGAATATCTGTAAATTATTTTTCACAAATAAATTCACAAAAAATTTCTGCGAATATTTTTTTGCAGGAAAATTCGCAAAAAATTTCTATAGATATTTTTTTCAGGAAAATTCGTAAAAAAAATAACATTTTTATAGTAGTAGTGAACGTTATTCACTTCCATTGTGGCATTTTTAAGTGAATATACATCAGAGAACATATGTATATTATTGCTTCCCCTATATTATTATTTGCTCTATACAAAATTCCTTCAACTCTCTCAGCAAACATCATTATGTAATTACGATTTTATTTTGCTGTGTATTTTTCCTCCAAGTGTAAGTACTATGTTATAATTTTTCATTTAGATCACTTCCACACATAATATTTGTATAGAACCCTCCACAAATTGCATTCAATTAGTTTGATTTAGATAAATAATACAACTTAAGTTCATTCTTCATGGGATAATCATAACTAGCTACTTCCACGTTATTACTTTGCCCAGTGTACTTGTTGGAGGTTATTACCAATAAACTAGTCTTTCTTCTATGATATTATTTTCTATTTGGCAATATTTTAATTGGTAAAAATGAGAGAAGTGTTTGTTATTTTCATCTAGAAAATGCAAATTATCATATTTAAGTGGTATGACAGTTTCAGTTTTATATATGAATTTAGAGGATGTAGATTTATATTTTTTAAACTATCAAGTTTTATCTTGTTTGAATAAACTTGTAAGAAACCTCTCACGTCTTTTCTTTATAATTTTGATTACTTTAAATAACTTATATATTAAGTTATAGTTATACTTTAAATCAAACATATTAATAAATGAGAAATAAGTTAAAATTAAAAACATAACAATTAAATTATATTTTAATTAAATGTATAATTCTAAGTTTAATTTAAAACATTTAACTATTAAAATAATTAATTTATATTTTAATGATTATAAAAAAGGCATACAAATAAAATCTTTATTCTAATTAAATACACACATCTTTCCGAACCTAAACCTAATTTTATAAGTCCGAAAAAGCCAAATTCAAACTCGAATTCAATCAAATTGAATTTTTTCTGTCACAATCTAATTGATTCGGACAGGTAGCTACCTCTAAACTTTTCATCAATATTTTTTCAAGCTGAATATCAAAATATTTCTAGGAACTCCATTTCATTATGATTATGCTGATATGCTCAACATTAATTTCTAAAAAATTATCTCCATTTAAACTTTTATTTTCTTGTTCTGAGTAGAATTAGGATTATTAGTATGTTCAAAACCATCTATTCGTAATTGCTCTTACTTTTTCATCAATAAAACTCGTTACATTCCTTTTTGAACAATGACAAATTTATTAAGAGCATCTAATTTAGGGTTGCTTTAATTTTTAACTTTCTTGTTTTTATTTTCTTTCTTCAAATTTTCAAAACCAAATTCTATCTTTCTATTTGGCATCTCCTATTGTAAAGCACTATAACCAAAAAAAAAAGTAACAATAAAAAATATAAATACATAGATGTTGAAGAGTAAATGAAGATAATAATAAAATGAAAAATCCTTGAAACTTGGAAATGAAAAGAACAATTATCTGCTGTAATATCATTCCAAAAATACCCTAAAAATAAGCAAGAAATGGAATACTTCAGGGAATAAACTACATTTATGTATAAAGATATTAAATAGTTCAACCTCTTGAAAAATTGGGACCTAACGTAAGATGCTTACTTGCTTTTACGATTTACATAACCTTGTACAATTTACACAATTTTGTGGATCTCTTGTCGCATGAACAAATTTATTACGCAAATACCCTTTTCATTCTAACTTTTTTGGAAACTAACTATATTGTTTTGTAGGCTTAAATAATCCTGTATAATAAATAAATCTTAATTTTAGTTTCTAAAAAAAATTAAATTCTGCTTTCTTTTTCTACAAATCCATAACATGACTTACCACAACTTTTATCTATTACAAAATAAAAAAATACTTTTTTTCTATTTCAAAAAATGAGTATTTTACACAGACAAAGAAAATAATACATAAATAATTAAATGAGAATGAAAATTTTACAAAATCAACTTTATTTTATTTCACAAAAAGTAACAAATCAGAAAAACTTAGTAATAAAGGTATACGTAAAAAAAGAAAATACTATATTTAAAATGACAAATATTTTGGAACAAAATTTTTCTTCTGACAATTATTTTAAGAGTATTTATAAAAAAAAGTTTTTAGCGCCCCACACAAAATGATCAGGAACAATGATGACACAATTTGCACTCCCAAGCCAATTTTGAAGAGTTGGTCAAGGGTGTTAAAAGCGCATAAGCTTCACAATATGAAATTTTCACATCAAGATTCGTTCATGAATTAGTAGAATCCAAAACATTCTTTGCACCAATGAAATAACCCAAAGACTTGAGACGTTTAGATATTTTCACTGCAATACTTATTACTCCCTTTTACATCTAATAACACCAAAGTCTAGGAAATGGGCTTGGTAACGATATCAAAAGTTTTACCCTCATACGAGTATTATCACCTAATATATACACAAAAAAGAAATTGAATTGCATTTTATATTAATCCATAACATTCGCTATGCTCATTGAAATTTCATGCATTTGTAGCAGCTCAATGAAGCATGCAAGTATTCTAGACGAGCAAATGAGTCAAGTTACAAACTAACCAGTAAAAGCGCGGCTTATGGAGTTGATTCATAATATTGCCTATAATATAATCCAAAACAAAAATGAAGCTTTGGTTTCTAATTTCAAGGTCTTGCCCAACATCCTTGAGCTAAGATGGAAGCTGTTGAAATATTATTTTATCAAGTCACTTTCAACACAGGAATTCATGATGAAAATGTTCTTTAGCAACTTTGATTACACCGAGACAAATCAATGCCACACAGTGGGGGGAAATAAACAAATACAAAAGGAAAGAGTCAACTACAGTACTCAGCCTGAAAGAGCAGAGTTGAGAGCGCTATGGACATCGATCCCAATCTGAGCTTCAGCTTTCTCCAAATCAGTTGTGGCTGAGTTCAGCTTCTGGGTGAAATCTTGAAGACCCTTCTGCACAAGATTTGCATCAATTCGATCTACTGGCACAGCCTCAACAGCTACTATATCAGCGACCGAGTTTGCATGGATGAATGCAAAGCCACTGCTGACAAAGTACTTGGTCACATCGCTCCCTTCATGTACAGATAGGACACCAGGTTTCAACTCTGCAATTGTTGCTACGTGTCCTGGGAGAACACCCATCTGACCAGTTGTTGCTGGTACAATGACCATATCAACCTGTTGCATGAATACTATGTCATTTTTTCAAGGAAGATGAATTAAGGGACTCCTTACTAATATCAAAACTCGGGTAGGATAAACCAGTGAGGGTGGGGATGTTGCGGCACAAGAAAATAAAACCGATAATCAAATGCATCAAATGTAGATAACTACAATGCAACAAATTTGAGAAGTTTTCATTTCTAATAGCTATAATTTATTTCTGGTATGGTGGTAGTAATATATTTGAAAATTTATAAAATATCCAGTCCAATTGATGTGCACCTGGTTTAATACTAAAATAATTTGTATGTGCATAACGGTTCTCAACCAAATGCAACAGAGGTTTCTACTCCACAAAATTAATCTCCTTTAAGATGACAGTTACAACATTAAGAAATTGGGACTGGAATATTAATTCACCCACAATCAGAGATACCAGCAAATCACATGCACTTAGTGGAGAGTGAAAAATTACAGTTAGTTACCATTGATTTTGATTTCTCTGTTCATTCGATCCTTTCTACTTGGTGAACAACCAATGCTACTGCAAGCACACTTTTGCAGTCACCTAAATGCAAATACATGTACCACAAACTACTAACACTATCTCATACTGCAGTTCAAACCACTGAATTTAACAGCAAGGTGCCTGTCTTAAGTTTTAAAGAGGCAGGCTTCCTTTCCACTTTTATTAGATGAGTCATACTCAGTTTAATTGGACACCTCACATTCACTTGCACAGCTGACAATGACATTCTTAATTGCATCTGTTTGATATATAAACCTCAACATCTCAATCAAAAGACAAAATAACTTCTCTTGAGAAATAATGAAGTGCTTTGGTATTGGTACAGGACTGCTACCATTGATCACATACGCATGGATTAAAAGATGCAATAGTTTAAGAAAGAACTTCATGCTAACTCGCCGGAATGTTACAAGCACAAATTTGAAATCTATGGTACCAAGAAACGGCATCAAACACCAACTTGAATATAGAGATGCTCCTGAATGTTACCATGGTTTACTATTTTTATGATACTATCACTTTACAAATTTCACTCTATAAAGAGCAAATAGTCAATGCATTATGTCTTTGCACTACAGTCATTAAAAAAATTGCTAAAGATTTTTAAAAAATAAAAATTTGGTAAAAATATTTTCTTTTGGGGTTGAAGCAATGCTGAAGACACAATCAAAGAAACATTAAAACATGCCTCTTGCTAATAACACTGCAGATGGTTTGGAAAATATATTACGACAAAGTAGATTAAAATGCATCTTCCAGTATCTTATTTTGTATCACAGGTTGTAGAATACGTTGTTACGTTAGTTCCCAGTTTCAAACAGGATGATGAGAAAACAGCTAGATCATGTGGTTCTAGTTCTAGGTTAGTAACAATTCCCTACTTAAGAAAAAAGAGAATGTAACACAGAAAACCACATAATCCAACAGCATTATCTGATCCAAGAATTCCTAAAATCTGGAAAAAATACCATTGTTATATAAGAATCTCTTATACGTGAAATTCTAGATTATATTCTTCTAATGGCCAGTAGGACTGCACGGGAACCAGATCCACATATACAAAATATTTGCAACGTAAACAACCAATACCACTTATTGTGCTTGTGAAAGTCATGAAAAATAAAAAACAAATACCTACTTTTGTTCACAAAATATAATTTTATGCACCAACCAAAGCCATGAAACACTAGAGAAGTATCACAAATTCAATTTCAATCCACAATCAATTGAAACATGTTAACAAATCATAAGGCAACAAAATCTGAACAAAGTAATGGAAGTATAATAAACAGGAAGAAAATGTGTCCCAAAGAACATGCCAAAATCACACAAAAAAAAGGAGCACAGGGTCCCAAATGAGCATCAGGCAGCACTCTCACAAGCAAGCTGGTGAATAGGATCCTAAACTCCTTTTTATTTCAATTACAAAAATAAATCGTATAGCAATCGTTTGCATTATTTTCCGATTTCCGCTTCAAAACATAAAATAACAACACCCTCAATTTAACAACATCACAGACACACATAAAAACAAGGTCTTAAATAGTATTCGCGGTAACAACGCAATCAGCAGTCGCACAGACCCACAAAACCCTCATGTTACTACCAAAACCAAGGTCCCAGACCACTTTTAAAACCTTGCATAAAATCTTAACAGTTGATACTCAACGCAATTTCCAAATTCCAAGGACCTCAAGCAAACATAAATAAATAAATAAATAAATAAAAAACACGAGATAACCCATTCATTTCCATCAAATAACCCAAACACCACACAAAGTGGAAAATAGGATCCGATTCAAAATTAGAAGCAAGCATAACTCATTAAAAAAAAAACAATTACCAACATACAAGCCAATAACCAAGATCCTAATTTCAGCAATTTATTTCAATTTCAATCACCACAAAACTAAATCGCACATTTTATATTTGTATTACTTTTCCATTTCCCCTTCAAAATATATATATAAAAAAATCTCTAACAGTACCCTCATTTTAACAATATCACAGACAAACAAAATCAAAATTTAAAATCCGGTTTCAGCTCCGTCTCAAAATTTCCGACAAATGCAGCCACGATTACAAAAAACAGAAGAAAAAAAACACCGCACAAAAACCTAAACAATGGAAACCCTACGCAGTTTCCGAACTCCGAGGATCTAAAAAAAATCACGAACAACTTATTTATGAGCACAAAAGAACCGAAACTCGCACGAGGCAGATCGGCACGTGCGAGAGAGAAAGCGAAAAACGAAAAAAGGTGACCTCTTTAGCGGCCAATTGGGAAGCGTAGGGGAGGACGAAGTTGACGGTGAGTTTGGAGGGGAGAGCGGAGGGAGTGGGTGGTCGGGGCTTCATGAAGGCGGACGGGGTCTTGGGCGGCTCCAGGTTGGGGCTCGCCTTCTTCCAGGCCTCCACGAACCTCGATTCCGCCTCCGCGGGGGCGGCCGCCACGTCGGTCGAGAAGCGGCGGCGGGAGGCGCCGGAGAGGAGGGACGCGGCTGCACGGCGGAGCATCGCGAGATTGGGGACGGATCGCTCGGTCTCGCTAGGTCGGAGAGAGAGAGAGAGAGAGAGAGAGAGGGAATGGGAGTGCGTTTGTGAGTGTGTGGGTGGTGAGAGAGAGAGCGAAGGGCGAAACTTGAAGGGAGGGATGGGTTGGTTACTTGTGTTTGGACTTTGAAGAGAGAGAGAGAGAGGGGTTGGGTTTGTTCTACTTTGGGCTCTTACACGGCCCAATACTACAACTCAGCGGGTGTGCAAGTGGAACCAAGTAAAAACAACGGTTGTGTTCTTTTTGGACATATTTTTTTTAAGGTTTAAATCGAGTTTTGGTTCTCATAATTTTATCATCGTTATTACAAAATTGTAAGAACTTGTTTTGTTTTATAGTAATGGTAATAAATATCAGTTATAATATAAATTTTAAAGAACTAAATATTAAGTAAATGTGTTATAAATATCTAAAAAAATACACAAATAAGATTATCACTTTTGTTTATATATAATAATAGGAAATTATGGGACAAAAAATAAATCCACTTGGTTTTAGAATTAAAGTGGATTTAAACCTTTTTATATGTAAGAAAGAATATAGCAAGGATAGTAAATATGGAATCTAAATAGTCATTATTGATGACTATTCTATATATACATAGGTATACTTTCTAGGTTACAAACACAAGTTATTTAAGGTCTTTAAAATATTTTGTAAGTGTGTTTGAATTGAAAAAGGTTTTTGCATTGCTACCATCAAAAGTGAGTTTGAAAATTTTGATTTAACAAACTTTTGTGAAAACATGGTATCTTTCATAACTTATCTTCACCAAGTACACATCAATAAAATAGGATAGTTGAAAGAAAAAATCGAACTTTATAAGAAATGACAAGAACACTCCTTTGCGAAAATAATTTGCCAAAATATTTTTAAGCAAAAGTAGTGAACACAACATCTTACATTCAAAACAAAATAATAATAAGATAATTTCTTAACAAGACTCCCTATGAATTGTGGACCGAAAGAAGATCCAATATTTCATATTTCCATCCTTTTGAATACGAATGTTATATCCGAAACACTAAGGATCAACTGGGCAAGTTTGATTTCAAAGTGGACAAGGGAATCTTTATTGGATATTTTAATACTTCAAAGGCCCATAGATTTTACAACTCTAGAACCTCTATAGGTGAAGAATCCATTCATGTGAAATTCAATTATGCACTAACAATTGATAGGAACTATCAGATCTAGAAGAGGACTTTGTAGACTTACAGATTGAAGGAGATTAGAAAAAGGAATCAGATGCTACCAATCAAATAATGGATTCTTCTAAAGGTAAGATGAATCATTCAAACGAATCAATCAAACCTTATAAAGACTAGAAGTTCGTCAACTATCATCCTCAAAATCAAATCTTAAATGATAAGACTGAAGGTGTTAGAACAAGATTTGCTCTTAGAGACAATGCTTCATGTGCTCTAGTTTCTAAAGTAGAACCAATGAACATAGATGAAGTATTGGGAGATAATGACTAGATTGTTGGCATGGAAGAGGAGCTCCATCAATTCAAAAGGAATGACGTTTGGACTCTAATGCTAAAGCTTGAACACCAAAGCTTGATTGAAACCAGATGGATGTTTAGAAATAAGCTAAACGAACAAAGTAAAGTGATATGGAATAAAGCTAGATTGGAGCACAAGGCTACAATCAACAATAAGGTATTGATTTCACTAAAACCCTCGCTTATATTATTAGACTCGAAGCTATTAGGATTATGTTAACTTTTGAAGCTCACAAAAACATAAACCTTTTTTAAATGGATGTAAACAATGCATTTTTAAATGGAATAATTGAGGAGGAAGTGCATGTTAAACAACCTTTGGATTTTGAAAATCCTAATTTTAGAGAACATATTTTCAAACTTAAAAAGGCTTTTTATGGTCTAAAACAAGCTCCTAGAGCTTGATATGAAAAACTAAGTAATTTCTTACTCAATAATGGTTTTGTGAGAGGTAAAATCGACACAACCCTTTTTAGAAAAGAGACTAGAACAAATTTTATTAATAATTGGTGCTACTAATAAATTTTTATGTGAGGATTTCTCAAATCTCATGCAAAAAAAAAATTGAGATGAACATGATGGGTGAATTGAAGTTCTTCTTGGGATTTCGAATCAAGCAAAAAGATGAAGGCATTCTCATTTATCAACAAAAAATGCACTAGATAACTTTAGAAGTTTGGGATGAATGACTACAAACCAATGCCCACACCCATGCATCCGTGTATAGGTTTTTCAAAAGATGAATTAGTTAAACTAGTAGATTAGATGATCTACAGATGTATGATTGGGTCTCTACTCTACCTGACTACAAGTTGACCTGACATCATATTCAACGTCTGTCTTTGTGATAGATTTCAATCTAATCTCAGAAAGTCACATTTAATGGTTGTTAAATGAATATTTAGATATCTTGTAGATTCTACTAACCTCTATTCTATGAAAGGAATAACAATTTCATGTTAGAAGGATTTTATAATGCTAACTATGTTGGAGATAAGATTGAAGGGAAGAGTACAAGTGAAGCCTGTCAATTCTTGGGAAGTTCGCCCATCTCTTGGGCAAGCAAGAAATATAACTCCAAAGCTCTTTCAACTATAGAGGTAGAGTATTTCTCAGTAGTTGGCTGTTGCTCACAACTCTTATAGGTCAAGTATCAACTAAAAGACTATTCCAGTTTTGAAAATAATATACTTGTATTATGTGATAACACTAGTACTATTAACTTGTCAAGAATCCCATACAACATTCCAAGGCAAAACACATTGAAATAAAATATCATTTCATTCATGATTATGTACAAAAATGTGTTTTTGACATAAAATTTATTGGCATTGATCATCAATGGAAAAATATCTTTATAAAGACTTTAGTTGAATAATGTATAAAATTCATTAGAGATCATCTGCACCTAAAATATGTGTTAGACTAAACATTACATGCATTATCTTACTTTGTATCATCTTACTTTGCATTATGTATCATTTGACTTGCATTATCTTTTGTTTATGTGTCATTTCATTAACCTGACTTGATATTTTCCTTAACATATCATCTAAGTTTTTGAAAATATTTTAGGTGCATTCAAAGCTTATTAATGTAGTACATCATTAGATTCATTGATTTTTGGGAAAGTAATGCGTGGAGAAGTGGGAAAGATAGAGACTTGTCACATCAACAACAACTTTGCTCTCACTAGTCTTGTCACCATACCAAACCTGTGACTCATCGTACCAAACTCGTGACTCACTTTTTTCTCTCTCCCATGATTTTAAAACTCAAACCATTTCACCATCTTCCTCACACTATCAATTCTGAACCTTTTCTTCGAACCCAAACACAAGTTTCTCTTCCACCACTAAAATCAAAAACAAACGATCTTGTACCCAAACCACTTCTTGTTCATTGTCATGAATCTTCTTCTATCTCAATACATAAGTCCTTCTTCTTTAACATGTCTTGCTATACTTTTTGGTATAAATTTTCATCTCAACAATTTCATTTGACTACATTGGGTGAAGGCTTTGGTCCTCATCTTCACAGCCGTAGTATGGTATCGTAGTCTACACAATTGTTATCTAATGAAAATGTGGGTCTTCGACCAACTTAGTCTGATGGGCTTGTTGTCAAAACATAGTAACTGAACACCTTAGTAGTTTCACCTAATTGTGTGGGTTTAAGACTTTAGTCTTCGTTTGCACAAGCATTGTCTAACGTTGACATGGGTCTTAGACTTTCTTAGATTGATGAAGTCTACTAATGATGTTACTAGAAATTGTATCTGCTTCTTCACCACCAAAAGCTCCACCTCTCCCTCCACTCTCCATTAAAGAGGACTGAAACAACATGATCGTTAGCCTTTACCAAGCTTTGCATTACACTTTGAGGGGGCAAGCACGCACTAAACAAAAATTCAACAAGCTACTTTCTTGCCTTAATATTAATCTAAGCTCTGACGAGAAGGAAGCCTTGGACTAGCTTTTGTTGGTGCCAAAAGGGGGAGAGTGATAGTGATTAAGATCTTTTGAATTTTTTGATCATTTTGTTCTTATTCTATTTTATTTTCTAAATACTTGGATTATTATTTTTTTTTTGAACAATATGCTCTTATTTGTATACATTATATTTGCTTTGATTTATGAAAGTTATATTCTTCAAATCATGCACGTTTTCAGTCGGACTCTCCTATGCATTGCATATAGCAGCTAGGGTAGAAAAATATATGCCTTGGCACCTGGGGTAGAAAAATATATGCCCTAACACCTAGGGTAGAAAAATGTGTTATGCTCCAATATGCTCTAATATTGTTAAGTCAAAAGACGATTCCTCAAGTTTTAATGACAATAAACGAAAGATTTTATTATTAAAAAGAAAATGCATTATCTACAAAAGATTTTATATTAGACGAAGTGTAAAGTTTATATCATATATAAGATGAAGAGAATCAAACGAAACATACAATCTATCTCATTATGTTTCCTTTTTTGTTGAGATTGATAATAAATTCTACTAAATACTTTATTCCTTAATAGATCAAATAAGAAAGATGTCTCGGAACTCACAAAATTTGTTAAAGAAGAAAAAGTTAAATTATCTGTTAGAATCAAAAGGAAAAATCCTAGATATCATGAAAAAAGCAGAAAAAGATTGTGTAAGAACTACTATGCTGACATTACTTCTGCTTTGTCCATTTTAGAAAGAAATGATGATAAGTAGCTTCCTAGATCAGATAAGAGATACACACTTTACTGAAAAATATTTAATGCTCGCATTAAATGAAACAATGATAATCTTTTTCCTCTAAGATCAACAATGAAGACAGACAAAGCAACTTGTGAGTTCAACTCAAAATTGTTGCAATAATCATTTTCTTTGAAGCTACTATGTAAGGATCAAGCATTCAAACAAAGACAGAGACATACACACACATACAAAGAAACACTCTTTGTCAATTTTGTATAGATTATTTTTTACTTTCATTTTAGGTTGCAACATGTCTAGAAGGGCGAAACAACTTCATAATCTCTTGTAACCTTTGTTGTAAGGTTTGAGCCTAAAGAGGCTTGTTTGAAAGAATACTTGTTATTAAGCATGAAAAA